GTGCTTCCCTTAATACCTTCTGGTGCATCTTTCACCTGGCAGTTGGGCGAAACCTCTTTGGAAGCCAGGTACCTTTTAACATGGGCCACTCCTCAGAGGGCTTCCTTTCATGTCCCTCCCTCCCTCCCTCCCTTCCTTTCTTCCCTCTCACTCTCTTTCAGAACACAGGTACAGATGATTGAATTATTCACTTCCACACTTCATGGCACTATGTGAATTCACTGTGTTGTGAAGCCCCTTTAATTTTCTTTATTCATTCCTTTCTATACCCCTACCCTACTCCAAATCCCCTTCCCTATAGGCAAACATTCTATTAAATGTAACGTATGTCTTTTTGTTTGTATGCATTCTTACAAACTGCATTAGGCTGAGTGGATCCAAAGCTCATTGACAGAAATCATTGGTTGAGAAAATGATTGTCTCTCTAATAGTCAGAAATGTCCACAGTGGTATGGGCTAGTCAGTTCCTCATTCCTGAAAGTGTGTAAGTAGAGACGGGATGACCACCTAGCAGGGCATGGAGGAAGGATCCAAGCCACAGAGGGGACTGGCCAGGGTCCCTGGTTCTTTGTGGGTGAGACATCGCTTACTCTGTGGTGGCCTCTGTCATTGCAGGGTGGCCTTTTGACAACGCCACATGCAAGATGAGCGGCTTGGTGCAGGGCATGTCTGTATCAGCTTCCGTTTTCACACTGGTGGCCATTGCTGTGGAAAGGTAAGAGGGTTCCCAACTGGGTTATCCCGGGTTGACTGGGCCCGGCACTAGAAAGAGCCACTGTCTTCACTGCAGGATCGGGGAAAGGCTGGAGCTGCTCTGTGGTGGGTGGGGCTGAATCCTGAGCCATAAAGGGAAGGCTGCCCTCTAAACTTGGAGGACCTGCAGAGGATGCTACCACCTCCTTTCAGAAGGCTTGGAGGCAGCTCCTAAGGAGGTTTAATAGGGATTTGGGGGGCTTATGAGGAGCTTGAAGGTGGTCCTTCTTTCCTGGGGAGCAGGAATCCTGCCATGCATGATTCTGAGCCAGGTTAGCAGCTTAACGGGTGGGCCTCAATACAGCTAGAAAGGAAGCGTGTCCCCCTGCTCCTTGACTTCACCTCCATGGCCTACTTGTTGATCCCTGCCCCTACTGGCTCCTCAACTCCACCCTATCACCAGCTACTTATGTTCTTTACAGCCTCAGATTCCATCAGATTCTCTGATAAGCATGGGTCTGCTAATGGAATGGAGCCTGGGGCCAAAGAGGCTTTGAGAACAATAAAATGCCGACTAACAGCAATATGTCCTGCTCCCCATCAGTGAGCCCTTTTACTAAGTTTCTTAACTAATCTGAGCCTCAGTTGTTCATCTGCAAAATGGAAAATACTCTACAGGATGGTTGGGAGGCTTCAACGAGCTTCTGCTTATAAAGCTGATGCATACTACTTGGCACAGTGTCCAAATGTCAGCTTTTAATATTTGATCTCCTTCTTACACTCACACCCATTCTTCTCTTTGCAATACAGGTACTTCTTAGCACTACCCTTTCCATTTATGTACTTGTTTTTATTAAATTTATTGGGATAACATTGGTTAATAGCATTATATAAATTTCAGGTGTACGACATCTGTATACTCCATTGTGTGTTCACAACCCAAAGTCTAGTCTTCTTCCAGCATCATATATTTGACTCCCTTTACCCTCTTCCGCTTCCTTTCACCCCCTTCCCCTCTGGTAACCACCATTCTGTTGTATCTATGAGTTTTCTGTTTGTTTCGTTTGTTGCTTTTTTGTTTTACATCCTCCATATGAGTGAAATTATATAGTTTTTGTCCTTTTCCATCTAACCTATTTCACTTAGGATGATACTTTTAAGATCTATTCATCTTATCCCAAATGGCAATATTTAATCTTTTTTTTAGGGCTGACTAGTATTCCATCGTGTATATATACCTCATATTCTTTATCCAACCATCCATTGAAGGACATTTATGTTGTTTCCATGTCTTGGCTATTATGAATAATGCTGTATTGAACACAGGGGTACATATATCTTTACAAATAAGTATTTTCAAATTTAGGGGGTAGGTACTCAGAAAAGGAATTGCTGGGTCATATGGTAGCTCTAGTCTTAATTTTCTTAGGAACCTCCATACTGTTTTCTATAGAGGCTGCAACAATTTACATTCCCACTAGCAGTGTGCAAAGGTCTCCTTTTTTCCACATCGTCTCCAACACTTGATATTTCTTGCCTTTTGACAGTAGCCATTCTAACAGGTGTGAGGTGGTATCTCATTGTGGTTTTGATTTGCATTTCCCTTAGAACTAGTAAAGTCGAGCATCTTTTCATGTATCCATTGGGCAAGTGTATGTCTTCCTTGGAAAAGTGTCTATTCTGGTCCTCTGCCTGGTTTTTGAGTTGCTTTTTGTTGTTGTTGAGTTGTATAAATTCTTATATATTTTAGATATTAGCCCCTTATTGGAGATATCATTTGCAAATATCTTCTCCCATTTGGTTGGTTGCCTTTACGTTTTGTCCGTGATTTCTTTGCTTTGCAGAAGCTTTTTAGTTTAATGTGCTCCCATTCATTTATTTTTGCTTTTACCTCTTTTGCCTTTGGGTTTATGTTCATAAAAACCCCTCTGAAACCAAGGTCTGTTAAGTTCAGTGTCTATATTTACTTCTATGGATTTTATTGTTTCAGGTCTTATATTCAAGTCTTTAATATATTTTTAGTTAATTTTTGTGTATAGTCTCAGATAGCAGTTTCATTTCTTTTCATATGGCTTTCCAGTTTTCCCAACACCATTTATTGAAGAGGCTTTTCTTTTTTTATTGAATGTTTTTTGACTCCTTTGTCAAAAATTAGTTGCCCATATATGTGTGGATTTATTTCTGGGCTCTCAATTCTGTTCCATTGGTCTATGTGTCTGTTTTTCTGACAATACCATACTGTTTTGATTATTGGAACTTTATAGTATGGTTTGAAGTCAAAGAGTTTGATGCCCCCAGCTTTGTCCTTTTTTCTCAGTATTGCTTCGGCTATTTGGGGTCTTGGAGGATTTTTCGTTCTATTTCTGTGAAAAATGCAAGTGGGATTTTGATGGGAATTGTGTTAAATCTGTATAGGCTTGAGGCAATATAGCATGTTAACACTGTTAATTCTTCCAATCCGTGAACATGGCATATCTTTTTCTTTCTTTGTGCCTTCTTCAATCTCTTTCAAAAAAGTCTTATAGTTTTCAGTATACAGGTCCTTCACTTCCTTTAAGTTTACTCCTGAATATTTTAACCTTTTTGTTGCAGTTGTAAATGAGATTGTTTTCCTTTCTTTTTCTAATATTTCATTTTTAGTATATAGAAATGCAATGGATTTTTGTACATTGATTTCATATCCTGCAACTTTATTGTATTTGTTTATTGTTTCTAATAGTCTTTTGATGAAGTCTTTTCAGTTTTCTATATATAGAATCATGTTATCTGCAAATAGTGAGCTTTACTTCTTTATCCCGAGTTTGGATGCATTTTATTTCTTTTTCTTGACCGATTGCTCTAGCTAGGACTTCCAGTGCCATGTCGAATAATGGTGATGAGAATGGGCATCCTTGTCTTGTTCCTGGTCTTAGAGGAAAAGCTTTCAGGTTTTTTTTGCCATCAGGAATGTTAGCTGAGGGTTTGTCATATGTGGTCTCTATTATATTTAGGTACTTTCCTTCTATACCTATTTTATTGAGTGTTTTAATAATAAAGAAATGTTGAATTTTGTCAAATGCTTTTTCTGCATCTATTGATATGATCATATGATTTTTATCATTTATTTTGTTAATGTAGTGTATCACATTGCTTGATTTGTATATGTCAGACCATCCTTACATCCCTGGAATGAACCCCACTTGATCGTGATGTATTATCCTTTTAATGTATTGTCGTATTTGATTTGCTGGTATTTTGTTTAGAATTTTTGCATCTATGTTCATCAGATATTGGCCCATAATTTTCTTTTTTTGTGTTGTCCTTGGCTGTTCTTTTAATATCAGGATAATGTTGGCCTTAGGAAATGACTAAAGAAATATTCCCTCTTATTCAATTGTTTTGGAAGAGTTTGAGAATAAAATGTATTAAATCTTTTAATGTTTGTTAGAATTCACAAGTGAAGCCATCTGGTCCTGGGCTTTTGTTTTTGGAGAGGTTTTTGATGACTTTCAATTTTCTTACTAATGATTAGTCTATTTAGGTTTTCTGGTTCTTCATATTTCAGTCTAGGAAGGTTAAATATTTCTAAGAATTTATCCATTTCTTCTAGGTTATCGAATTTGGCGGTGTATAGCTTTTTATTGTATTCTTATTTCTTGTAATCCTTTGTATTTTTGTGGGGTCCGTTGTAACTTACTCTCTTTCGTTTTTGAGACTTTTCTTGTTTCTTGAGGTAGGCCTATAATGCTATAAATTTCCCTCAGGTACTGCTTTTGCTGCTTCCCCAAAATTTTGGTATGTTGTATTATCATTTTCATTTGTCTTTATGTATTTTTTGACCTCTTTATTTCTTCTTTGACCCAATCATTGTTAAGTAGCATGTTTAATCTCTATATATTTGTGGAGTTTTTTTCAGCTTTCTTGTAGTTAATCACCAGTTTCATACTGTTGTGGTCAGAAAATATGTTTGGTATGATTTCAATCTTCTTAAATTTATTGAGACTAGTTTTTTGTTCCAACATATAGTCTATCCTTGAGAATGTTCCATGTACACTTGAGAAGACTGTATATTCTGTCATTTTGGCATGGAAAATTCTATAAATATTGAGTAAGTCTATTTGGTCTAATGTGTCATGCAAGGCTGATATTTCCTTATTGACTTTCTGCTTGGATGATCTACTCATTACTGTCATTGGGGTATTCAGGTCCCTTATTATAATTATATTTTTGTCAGTTTCTCCTTTTAGGTCTGGTAATAATTGCTTTATATATTTTGGTTCTCCCAGGTTGGGTGCATATATCAGGGTTATGCCTTCTTGATGAATTGTACCCTTTATCATTATAAAATGTCCATCTTTGTCTTTGTCTCTTGTTACCTTTTTTATCTTGATATCTATTTTAATTGATATAAGTCCGGCTATACCCACTTTTCTCTAGACGCCATTTGCTTGGTGTATCATCTTTCACCTCTTCACTTTGAGCCAATGTTTGTCTTTGTAGCTGAGATGGGTCTCTTGAAGGCAACATGTAGTCGAGTCTTATTTTTTAATCCATCTTGCTATTCTGTTCCTTTTGACTGGTGAGTTCAGTCCATTTACATTTAGGGTAATTATTGACATATGAGGACTTACTACAGTCATTTTATCTTTGTTTTCCGGTTGCTTTGTATCTCCAGAGTTATGTGTCTTAGCTCTAGATTTTTGTTTTGTGATTACCATTAGGTTTATGTAAAAAAAAGTTTCATATAGTCTTTTTTCTTCTGATTGCATCTTATCTTCATTCACCTGTGCAAGTTCAGTCCTTTCCCATTATTCTTTTTTATGCTGTGTGTTTACTTCCAAATTGCAGTTGTCTTTTTAAAAAATGCTTTTTTAATTTGTAACTTTATGTTATAAAATTTTTAATACTCTATTCTGAAATAGAGTTTCAATTTCCTGCTTCTGTCTCTTATCTTACTCAAAGTTTTGTATACTTTTATCTTTTTGTTTCAGATAGAAGAGCTCCTTACAACATTTCTTGTAATGCAGGTCTTGCGGGTAAATTCTCTCAGCTTTCTGGAAATTCTGGAAAAGCTCTGATTTCTCCTTTATATCTAAAGGATAATTTTGAAGAATATATTATTCTCGGCTGGTAGTTTATTGCTTTCAATATTTTGAATATTTTATTCAACTCTCTTGGCTTGTAAAGTTTCTGCTAGAAAACCTGATCATAATCCAATGGGGTTTCCTTTGTAGATTACAGTCTTCTTTCCCCTGATTATCTTGAGAATTCTTTATTGTCATTAACTTTTGACAGTTTTAATATAATGCGTCTTGGAGGAGGTCTTTTTGCATTGAGATATTTAGGTGTTCTGTTAGCTTCTTGAATTTCAGGATTCAGTTCTTTCCATAGATTTGGGAAGTTCTTGTCGATTATTTGTTTGAGCTGGCTCTCTGTGCCCTTCTTTTTTCTTTTCTCCTTCTGGTATACCCATTATACTTATGTTGCTCTTTCTAATAAAGTCAGATAGCTCTCACAGAGTTCTTTTAATCTTCATCTCATTTGTTGAGTTCTTCAGCTCTAGAATTTCTGTTTGGTTTTTCTCTAGTTTCAATCTCTTTGGTAAAGTACTCCTGTTGTTCATTGACTTTATTTTTGAACTCATTGAACTGCCTTTTTGAGTTTTCTTGTATGTCATTGACTTTATTTGTAATTGCAATCTTGAATTCTCTGCTATTTAAGTCACAGTCTTTCATATCTTTGCGTTTAGTTTCTGGAAACTTTTCACTTCCTTTCTGAGCTACCTTGTTACCTTGGTTATTCACAGCACTCGATGGATTGTTTCTCTGCCTGGGCATTTGAGGGAGTGAACTCTTCTTTTTTAGGTACTGTTTTGCGCTTAACAATTCAGCAGGTTGATAAGTAGAGGCCTTTCTTTCCTTTTCTGGTAGATCCTATAGCACAAGTTTTTTGTTTTCTCTTGCCTACACTACTGGCCCCTCTGGGATCTCGGTGGGGAAGTGTTGCTTCAGTTATGGAAAAATGCCCCATATTCCCCAGGGAGGTGGGCATTTCCTTTGTGTCTGGGACACCTCTGTGTCTGAGACACCTCAGTCTTATGGTACCACTCCCATGGTGGGATGTGGAGGGTGATGGGACTCTGAACCTTCAAATTCCCAGTGCTGCTTTCTTGTACAGAAGCTGCCAGCCACACTGTGCTATTCAAGGCATCTCTGCTGCCTCTACCAGGTTCCACCTCAATGGGTATGGAGTCTGCAGCTTTGCTTTCTTGCTAGTAATGGTGGCTGCTAGTCTGCTGCTGCCACACCACTTTGTTGTGTCTCTACCCAGGTTTAGCCACATTAGTGCCAACTACTCAGACAGAAATGTTGCTTCTGCTCTCCTGGCCCTCTGGGATACTATGTAGGTTGCAACCCAACTCTTTACCTCGCCACCACGTCAGCTGGGGGCATGGTTGGTGCCAATTGCATCTGCGACTCCGGTCTCTGTTCTTCCCTCCATCTTGCCTCTCCTGCTTATTCTGATACACCTACCTTCAGATGTCTTGATGTGTGGATCTCTCAGAGGAGTTTGTGTGTTAAGCAGGGAAGCCTTTGTTGAATGATAGTTGTCTGACTTGTAACTTTAAGGGTAGAAACCAAAGGGTCCCCTTATTCCACCATAATGCTGACACTATTCCACTTTTTCCAGAATCTAATGTCTTAATCCTCATCGTGTCTCTGCCATTATCAAACATAGTGTTCTGTGACCCAGTGATATAAGCAGCTGGGGTGATGGAATTAAGTTCCAATATCTGCAATGCCACTAACTTTCTGGCAATTGGGGAAAATTCTTCTCCTTCAGTGATCTTAATTTTGTTATTATTGTTAATGATATGTGAATATGCAACCTCTTCCAGTAGTGTCTTCAGTATTCTTCAATTTTTCATCTCCAATAAGCCTTTCTGGTCCGCCCAGGATTCTCCTCCATTCATTAACTGATCCTGCACTATAGCCAGTACCATATGCTTTAAGGATTATTGGTCTCTGGGAATTTCTTAAGTGTGCGATGCTATGAAACCAGTAGGCCGAAGGCATACAGATTGAGACAGCAAGGCTTGAGGCAGGCCATGGAGAAGTAGAATGTTCTGTCAGGAAGGGGAAAGGGTGGTTAGACAGGAGAGCAGGACACAGTCTGGTGAAGTGGAAAGGGCATTTGGCTGGGAGTCAGCTCCAGGCCTATGTTCTAGTGCAGGTTCAGTCCCTAAATTGTCACATGACCTTCCCAGACTAATTAGATTGGATCTTTGGCCGGAAGAACTGGGCATAGGTATTTCTTAAAATGCTTCAGGAGGTTTTAATGCACAGTGAAGGTTTATAGCTTCTGGTCTATATGGCTTAGTGGAGCAAGACAAATCTACCTTCAAGGCTAGTTCTCGCTACTTGTTAGCTGTGTTGCCTTGAGTCAGTTGCCTAACACCTCTGAATCCATCTCCTCAACTGTAAATTAAGGGTGTAATAATAATCGCTGCTGAGATGTTCTAAGGAGGAAATGGTGCAGGCCTATCCTAATACTGTGAAGGGACTGTTGGAAGGATACTGACCAAAATAACATAGGGACAGCCTATTGTTTAGGCTCCCAAGGTTTTCTGGAGAATCCATGAATAGCTAAAAATTGTTTTCTTTGATACACCTACCTAACAGGCCTACTCAAGGACAGAATGCACAGACTGATCACTCCGCTAACTTCTGACTAATCAGTTAATCTCCAAAAGAACAAACAGGATTCCTGTTTACCATACCTCCTGCAGCTTCCTCCTCCCCTCTCTCTAGTAAATCCTGTTTTTGCCTTTGTTCCTTGGCTACTGAGACCAGGAGCTGACTCCTCACAGGTGAGAAACCAATTTACTTGCAAACTAACCTAATTAATATCAGAGCTATTCTTTGAGGCTATCTAAGGTGCGATGATGAATGTGAAGTGCCCACACCCACCAGCCCTCATCTGGGGCTAGCTCTGACCTGTGGACGACTGGGACCCACCCAGACCCCCTGCTTCTCTTTCCTCCGTGCTGCAGATTCCGCCGCATCGTGCACCCTTTCCGCCAGAAGCTGACCCTACGGAAGGCACTGGTCACCATCGCGGTCATCTGGGCCGTAGCCCTGCTTATCATGTGCCCCTCGACCATCACGCTGACTGTTACGCGCGAGGAGCACCACTTCATGGTGGATGCCCGCAACCTCTCCTACCCACTCTACTCGTGCTGGGAGGCCTGGCCTGAGAAGGGCATGCGCCAGATCTACACTGCCGTGCTCTTCTCGCACATTTACCTGGCGCCACTGACGCTCATTGTAGTCATGTACGCCCGCATCGCACGCAAGCTTGTCAAGGCCTCGGGCCCTGGCCAAACCCGCGGGGAGGCAGCCACGGAGGGCCGGCGCGGGGCCCGGCGCAAGGCCAGGGTGGTACACATGCTGGTCGTGGTGGCACTCTTCTTCACACTGTCCTGGCTGCCGCTCTGGGCTCTGCTGCTGCTCATCGACTACGGGCAGCTCAGTGAACCGCAGCTGCACCTGGTCACGGTCTACGCCTTCCCCTTCGCCCACTGGCTGGCCTTCTTCAACAGCAGCGCCAACCCCATCATCTATGGCTACTTCAATGAGAACTTCCGCCGCGGCTTCCAGGCTGCCTTCCGTTCCCAGCTCTGCCCACTGCAGTGGGGGAGCCACAAGGAGGCCTACTCGGAGCGGTCCCGCGGGCTCCTGCGCACGCGGATCTTCGTGGAGGTGCAGCACAGCGACTCGGGTCTACCCTCCGAGTCCGGGCCTAGCAGTGGGGCCCCCAGGCCTGGCCGCCTCCCACTGCGCAATGGCTGGGTGGCCCACCATGGCTTGGCCCCGGAAGGCCCTAGCTGTTCCCATTTGCCCCTCACCATACCAGCCTGGGATATTTGAGTGGTATAAGGAGGACAGACTCTGAATCTGAGGACCCTGACTGGACATGTGACACCTGGACACGACACCTACACCAAGGTAGGCCTTGGTGCCTACCTCCCAAATACAAGGCAGTAGACTGCTGCTAGTGATATCTTCTCTAGGACGTCCCCCGCCCCCGCCAACCCCCCCAGAGAGTGGCAAAGGAAGGGAAGCCAAGAGGAGCTAAGTTTCCCCAAACCCTTCTGCCACAAACTTCATCTCTGGATTCTCACAACACTTTGGGAATAGGCTTTTCTATCTCTCTTTTACAGATGAGAGACAGGCCTGGAGAGGAGATGTGGCTAGTCCAATCTCTCACAGGAGCATGGCTGACTCCAGCGCCTCTCTGGTGTTACTGTCTCCAGTTGTCTCCAGAAGGGCACATTGAAGTGGAGGACAGTGAAATGTGTAAATGCTAATTAGGCTGCTAGAAAGAAGCAAAAAGCAAAACTGCCCTATCCATTTGATGCTCTGCGTCTGTGTCCTGGAGTCTTTCATGTTACTGAAGCCACTCTCCTTGACCCCTTCTAAGAAGAACATGGTATGTCCTCTGCCAGCTCTCTGTAGGTTTGTTTTATTGGTGGTTACTGAAGCCACTCTCCTTGACCCCTTCCAAGAAGAACATGGTATGTCCCTCTGCCAGCTCTCTGTAGGTTTGTTTTATTGGTGTCCAGGGCCATTCACTTCTCCCTAACGTACTACAACAGGACATCATGCCCGAGCAGCTGTGGAACATACCCTAGAGAGCCTGCATCAGTTGCAAATACTCTGGGTCTTGCCCTCTGGGTCTGAGCTCTGAGAGGGTAGGGGGGTGGGAGTGGGCTCTGTTCTCCCTCCTCTCCTCATATGGGGCCCACCATCACCCAGGTCCTGGCAAATACTTACAATGTGACAGGTAGCTGTAAGGCCACATGGAGGTGTCAGTTTATTTATTCATAGACAAGAAGAAGAGAAAGTACAGAACCCTGTATCTGCCTTTGGAAGCACATCTGCTCACTGGAGCTGCAAGCGCAAAGCCTTCCCAAGGCCTTTTTCCTCTACTTCCTCCAGGGATAGTGGAAAGAAATTAGCCAACCTAAGCTGGTATGCCTTTTGAAGTCTCCTGGAGGACAAACACTAAACTCCTCTCCAACATGAAACTCATCTACCCAAAAAAGAGTTTGAGACCAGAAGGTCCCTGTTTACTCTGGCTCTCACCCAGCACAACTGAATTACAAAACTTCGCTCTAGGAGATGGGAGAAAATGGGATTGCCTTGGTGGCCCTTGCACAGCCCCAATAGCCTGCAGTTAACTGGGCATTTTCCTCATCTCTACAGAAAACACAGTGTTGCTAGAATTTTAGTGAATAAAAAAGAAATATTTCTACGGGTCAGGGCAGAGAATGAGACTCTGAGACTTCCATTGTTTTCTTAATCTATACACAGTAACCTAACCTTGTTTACACCACTCTAAGTACTCTGAGTTCCATGTTGGAGAGGAGTTTAGTGTTTGTAAGGGCAGAAGAAAATTTCTAAGCAATTGTGTAATCCCTTCTTAAGCAAGTCCCCAGACACTATCTGATTTGATTCATATAAATGAGGTAGAGGGAGATATTGTTGTTGCCATTTCGCAAACAAAGTAACTGAGGCTCAAAGGGGCTAAGGTCACAGGTCGCAGAAGGGCAGGGTTTAGATTAGAATTTGTCTTCTGGTGGTTTCTTCCTATGCCGCCACATCCTGCCTCTCAAGGATGGTGGATTGGACATAATGGGAAAGAGAGCTGGAAATTCCCACAAAGGCTTTCTGCCTGACGGTGAGCCAGAATGCTTGTGGAACAAACATCCCCACCCTCAAGCTCTTGGTATGGGAAATGAGAATCTATTGTGTTGACTCTTTTACTATCCGGCCTGAGCTGCTCTGTGTACAATATCTCTAAACCCATGTATTGAGCAGGCTGCCAAGATCCACAGGTCCATCACTCCACCTGGTGTCTGGGGGTGATGGATGAGGGTCTCAGGAGGGGATATGCCATCCTATCCCTCATTAGCTAGTGCATGTATGGGCCCCATTTTAGGTATTGTAACAGACCAGAGAGTTCCTGCTGTTTACTGTGAAGAACTATGACCCCAGGCTCTAAAAATAGGCCAGAGAAAGAGTAATCACAAACTCAAATGCTTATCCCTATGACTGGGTGGGAACTGTCCAGAGACACTGGTCTCTCCTCTTGGGTGTGTTCCTCTTTTAGCATTGTCTCCCCAACCACAAAATCACAGCCTCTCCAGCAGGGGAGACCAGGACTCTCACACAGGCCAATCTTTCCACCAAGGCCCTTTTGTTTTATTTCCCCGCAAAGATGCCATGCTTTGAAAGATTGTGCCTGTCAAAAAAAACTGCACTAGGTCAGAACTGATGTATTTTGCTGTTATTTTTATTTATTTAAAAAAATCAAAGGTTATTCCTGCCTGTTTAGAGATTGAATATGAATGGTGACAGATATGACTTGATGCTTTTATGAAAGATGAGACCTTATAGGTACCTGTGGAGTGTTTGGATTTGTATATATGTGGTAAAATATATTCAACACAATATTTACCAATGTAGCCATTTTAAGGTGTACAGTTCAGTGGCATTAACATGTTGGGTAACCATCACCACTGTTTCCAGATTTTTAAAAAACATCCTAAACTGCAATTCTGTACCCATTCAACAACTCTCCATTCCTCCCAGCCCTTGGCAACCAGCACTCTGCTTTCTACCTCTATGAATCTGACTACTCCAGGTACTTCATACAAATGGAGTCATAAAGTATTTGTCCTTTGTGAATGGCCTCTTTTACTTAGTATGATGTCTGCAACTTCATCTATGTTGTAGCATGTATCCGTACCTCATCCCTTTTTAAGGCTGAATAATATTCTGCTGTGTGTGTGTGTGTACATTCATCTGTCAATGACACTTGGATTGTTTCCACCTTTTGACTATTGAAAATAATGTGTTTTAAGATGTTGGAAGTAGTTCCTGAAAATAGGGCCTGTGTAAACTCTGAAGACAGAAACCCCAGGTTGGGAACACAGGACTTCTACTGACTTAGCATTTATGGGTAACAAAGCAGAGTCTCTGAGGGAGGCTGTGATCATCTCCCTCCCCTGTGCCCACCTAGCTGCTCTGAGCTCCTCCTGCTGGGCTTTACTTCTTGATTAATGTGGCTAGGAAATTGTGTTTCCTCCATGGGATATTTTATAAAGCTGTTTTTATAAAGCTATTTTACCAGAATCCTGTGTCCTGACACCTGGGCCCTCTAAGGGACCTTGTCCAGCTACCCTAAGGCATGTAAGGGCAAGCAATGTGAACTTCTCCAGATGTGCCATCCTCCACCTGTGGGCTGGTTGGGTTTTCTAAGGTGATTGCCCTTTCAGGGGCAGAAAGTTTGGAGATGAATTGGATGTATGATGGAGGAAAAAGGCCAGAGGCCTGTTGACAGTGACCCCCCACCCCAGAGGGGCTCTTGGAGGGACTCTGTGTCCTGTCCTGCCATGTGCAGAACAAGCGGTCGTGCTAATAGTGGCTCTTCACTGATGAATGGCCCCTTGACTTCACCAAGACCACGTGGCACTCAAAAGACCAATGCAAGCTGGAGGCGGGTGCCCAGCCTGGACCCCACAAACCACAATCTGCCCAGCCCTATGCTGAGGACTTTCTCTTGGGGACTGGCGGACGCATGAGTTGATTTGGGTTGGAATGGAGGGTGGAGTTGGCAAAGTGGGATGAGAGCCCCCCTATCATTAGTCTACTGTGTATTCATCCAAAAATCAAGGTGAGAGCCAAACCAAGAGCTGGATGGACAAAGCATTGCTATTAAGCTCTGTACCTTTTTGCATCTGTTTCCTCAGCTCACCCCTCAGAAGTGCCACTGAGGAAAGATAGATGAGAAGGAAGTGACCCAAATGGGCTTCATTACAAGCAAACAATGTTGAATCGACAAAAGATTCCTTGTTGAATAACCCAATTATTTATGTTTACAGCATTTTATTGTTTTTTTCCTCTCTCTACAAAAGCACTCCATAATCACTGTGGAAATTTTAGATAAACAAATGAAAATAAGCACCCAAATCCCACCACAAGAGATAAGCATAGAGTCATTTTCTGTGCATATCTATCTATATGTTTAAAAATTTTGTAACAGTTTTATTAAGGCATAATTTGCATACCATAAAATTCACCCATCTTAAGTGTATGTTTTGATAAGTCTTAGCTATTGAATACAATTGTATAACCATCACCACACTTAAGATATTTCCAGCATCCCCCACAAAATTCCCTTGTGCCAATTTGTAGTCAACTCTCTCCCCCAACTCCTAGACCCAGATAACTGTCCATCTGATTTGGAATGTCACATCCCTAGAATCATACAGTGTGTAGCTTTGAGCCTGTCTTATTTCACTTAGCATGACTTCTTGAGATTCACTAATTTATAACATCTATCAGTAGTTCGCTCCTTTTTACTGTTGAGCAGTATTCCATCATATGGATGTATTGCATTTTGTTCATTCATTCATTAATTCATAGGCATTTGGGTTGTTACCAGTTTTTATGAATTTATGAATTATGAGAAATGCTGCTATGAACATTCATATATGACAGTCCTTATATGTATATATGTTTTCAATTTGCTGGGTTGTATGATAAATGTATAGTTTAACTGTGAGAAATTGCCAAAGTGTTTTCCAAAGTTGCTACACCATTTTATATTCCCATCAGCAATGTATGAGAGTTTTAGTTCTTACCAACACTTAATAGTATCGGTCTTTTAAAAATTTTCCTGATGACTAGTAATGCTGGGCATATTTTCATATGCTTATTGGTCATTCTCATATCTTTCGTTGTAAAGTATTTTCAAATTTATCTTTTAAAAATATGATTACGTTGTAGACACTTTAGGACAAAAGTTAGCTCCAAATATAAGAGAAACTTATCACGAATAGATGATTTTTAAACCCATCAAG